CTGGGCTTGAAGTTTCAAATGCTCTATTGTCACTCTCATTAATATTATTTATTCCTTCTCAAAATATAGTTTATCAGCTTCATTTAATATAAGGGCTCTGGGTATTTCTTCAGCAATAATGATAACAATTATGCAGTCCTATGGGCTGAACTGTGGGCTCCCAAAATTCTTACGTTGAGGCTCTAACCCCTAATGTCACTGTATTTGGAGGCGGGGCCTCTAAGGAGGTAATTAAGGTTACATGAGGTCATAAGAGTGGGGCCCTGATCTGATAGGATTAGTGTTCTTATAAGAAGAGACACCAGAGAGCTTGCCCTCCCTTCCCCCCGCCCCCACCAAGTGCACAAGGAGGAGGTCATGTGAGCACACAGTAACATGGCGGCCACCTGTGGGCCAAGAGAAGAGGTCTCGGAATGAAACTGACCCTTCCTGACACCTTGATCTTGGACTTCCAGCCTCCAGAACTGTGAGAAACACATTTCTGTTGTTTAAGCCCCACGGTCTACGGTATTTGTTATGGCAGCCTGAGCAGACTAAAGCTTGCAGATCTACACAGAACAATCTAGATGACATTAAAAAAAAATTGCATACACCACATGCTAACAACAAAAAAACAAATAAACACCAGGGGTAAGTTCTCAGCCACAGTGTGTACTGGAGTAAAAGAAAACATTCTGCCACTGAGCAAAATCCCAAACGCACTGAAATAAAAAAACAAAAAGCAAACCAGAAAAAACCCAAAGCAGCATTAAAGTAAAAACTACTTGGGAGAAAGAATTTCCATCCTATGAGCAATTTGACATAAAAACTTCAGAATCATAATAGTGACTCTACCATAATTTTCTGTAATAAAACATCTATTATAACAGATATGGCAATACAATAAAAGTCCTATTGTTCCAGAAACTGTATTATAACTGAAACAGGATAATTATAGAAATACTTGCGTGAGAATTGCATGTTCAACAGAACCATTGAAAAATCATTCTTCTCAGACTGAAAATAAGTCTTCTGGGTACAGAGAAACTCTTCAGTGAAATCTGAAATGGAAGACAAGGTGGATTTAAAAAAAAAAATCTTTTATAGCAGCATAAGCTTCCAAAGCCCCCTCAGGGCCATCTGGAAACGTCTCCAAGGGCCCATCCGGCTCCGAGGGCTACACTTTATTTGGAACAGTAAAATCTAATAGTGGATTTTGAAGTAGGGCATCTCTATATTTTTTCAACAAACAGATTTTAGGGTGAATCTCAGTTCTGTCGAGTTCATTTTGTAAATTCTAGCTTAGAATTTCTAGCCTTTTAGAACAGCCGACCCCTGGGACGTTTGCAGAAATCCAGTGGTGTGTTGAGCGCATTGCTGGTACGGCCAGTGTCCCTGCAGAGGAGTTGACAAAGCACCGTCCACTCCTTCCCCCCTCAGTCCTCAGAGTAGTTCCAGGCTGTGGAGAGCAAGGACTCTGACCCTCATCTTGTAGTGGAGGAAACTGAGGATGATCTGGATGGCAGCGAGGCGGGGGGATTCGTCTAGAAACTGCATTTGCACTGTAAGCACACTGTTTTGACTTCGCTTATCTATTTATTTGATGCAGCTTCGGGGAAGCTGATGAAAATGACAGAGGACTGGGGGGCTAGAGGGCCTGCGAGCCATCCTTTGTCACCACTACTGACTTCCAACGTTCCATCCCGGGGAACTTGGCACCGGAAAGACTGGGAACCTGGAGGAAATTCACACAGCGATGATGGCGGTTGAGGGACTAAGGTAAGTGTGCTGAGAGAAATAATAATAATGACGACGAGGAGAGCACACACTCAACTCCATGGCAAATATGTGGAGTGGTGCTAAGTGATGACTAAAGGGACATGATAACCATCCACAAATATTTGAAGGATGTAAACACCAAGGAGGAAGATGGATTAATTATTTAGAAGAACAAGGATGAAGCCCGAGACAAGCTCATTATCAGTCCCAAAGCTACCTTGTCCCCCAACAACCCTTTCAGAATTAAGCTCTCCCAAGACTGAAGGCAGGCAGCTGGATAGTCCAACTGCACACAACTACTCTGACATGAGGCACGGGCTGAGGCTGTTACTTTGATCGTGCAGGCACGCACCATGCGCATGCTCAGATCATCACCACCACAGCTGGCACTGCTGAGTACCTGGAGTTTTGGGTTGAATCATGTTACCCAAAAAGATATGTTGAAGTCCTGACCCCTGGTACTTGTGAATGTGACCTTATTTGAAAAATAGGGTCTTTGCAGATGTAATCAAATTAAGATGAGGTCATTAGGGTGGGCCTTTAATCCAGTGTGACTGGTGTCCGTATAAGAGGGTAACTGAGACACAGGCACAGACACACAGAAAGAGCGCCATGTGATGACAGAGGCAGAGATACAGCTGCGAGCCAACGAATGTGAAGGATGGATGGCCACCAGAAGCTGGAAAGAGGCAGGAGGGATCCTGACCTGCAGGTTTCAGAGGGAGCCTGGTCCTGCTGACTTCTTGGACTAGTCTCTGAAACTGTGAGACGGTGTTTCCGTTTTAAGCTACCCAGTTTGGAGTCCTTCGTTATGGGGCCAGCAAACAAATCCATCTGTGCCCAGAAGGGCACAGAGCACTTCACATATGAAAGGAATGGCATGCATCCTGGCGGAAGGACAGAGGGCAGGGGACACCTCCTCTGCCTCCAGGCAGGACTCAGAGGTCCTTAGGAAGGGTGTCCTGGGCCCAGCACGGAAGTGGGAACTTCTCCTGTCCCCAAACCCTAGCTGTGGGTGCCTTGGGGCAAACGACTGGCTACAAGGCAGGATCAAGGCTGCTGGGAATCCCTGAGCACGAAACAGACCATTTGTCTCCGTAGAGGTAATTTAAAATGAAAAGAACGCTGATTGTAACATTTTAGTTTTCAAAATGCCATCAAGTTTATTTGCGTGCTCTTTTGAAGAGGCCGCAGGGGTTTGTGTGTGTGGGAGCTGTGTGTGGGATCATCCATCCCTTAGTCTGGCTGGGTTTATCCTGAAAGAGCCATGTAAATTAGGTGTGGCTCACTCAGCCTCTGCAAAAGCAGGGGATTGGGGCGCTGGCCTCATGGGGCCCATCTGAGTTCTGGCCCCAGCTGGCTCTGTGAACACAACCTAGCACCCTGGGGGGTTCGTGGGCCCATCAGGAAGGGGGTGCATGGTGAAGGCTGGGGTGGAATCGGATTTCCTGCACTCTGGGCACATGAGGGTCACCTTTGGGACTTCGGAGATGCTGTTCATTTTCATATCCTAAAATGTAAGCAAGAATAATCTAGATTCCTCATTTAATCTTCAGAAACATCCTATGAGACAGGCACTATTATTATTGTCATTTCCCAAATGAGGAAACTGAGGCACACAGAAGTTGAATGACTTTCCCAAGGTCACCCAGCCAGACCTTACGACTGTAAGCATTATGAAGGCACCAGCTGTATGCTGGGCCAGTGCAGCCACCACACCATGACGGAGACCCCACTGTGCACCTCGTTCACAGCACCCACACTGCTGGAAGCCCAGCGCAGCTATGAGAATGTGGTGCCGGGCGTCACATTTACGGGCTTCGGTACGTGCCATCATTTTATGGCTTCACTCATATCAGAATGGAGGTCCCCGGTTGCTGACTCAGCCCCCCGTCCCGAGGACCCCAACCTTGTGGCTGCTGTCCCTCGCGGCACCTTTCCCTCCTCCCGGTCCTCTCCCTCCCGTCTCCGGGGAGGGAGTGGGCAGGCCAGTTCTGTAACATGCCGCCAGAGGGAGCTGCCCGCGGAGAAGCGGGGCTCTCACCCAGGTCCGAGCCTGGACACCGCGGGGAGGCGGGCTGCCGCAGCGCGGCTTTCACTCTAGAACGTCACCCAAACGCAGGCGACAAATGCTATTGGGGACGCACGGTGACTTCACCGCGGCCGCGCGAGCCCTGGTTAGTGCTTTAGGACAGAGGGGAAACAGAGGTAACAAACGAAGGTAGTCAGAGTACAAGTTTCAGGTAAGATGGAGAAGTCCTGGAGATCGGCGATTCAGCAGAGTGCGTAGTGCTAAAGGGCAGACATTATGATCGGTGTTCTTACACACACACACACGCGATAACAATAAAGGGGATGGGCATATTACGCCTCGAGGGTGGTGACGGTTTGTACTTAGGGGTGTAGTTAACCCCAAGCTCACTGAGTTGCATATATTAAATATGTATAACTTTCTGTATGTCAATCATACCTCAGTAAAGTGGCTTAAAAATTTTAAACCACTTTATTGAGATGTGAGATACATATGTTCCCAAAGTACTTTCCCGTTCAGAAGAAAGAGGAGCAGGAAGGGGAGGAGCAATAAAGCGGCTCGGGCAGTGTGGAAGAGGCCCCGGGACGGCGAGGCAGGGTCTGGTTCCCGCAGGGGCTCGGAGCCAGCGGCCCGGCCCGACACCCCCGCCTGGATGGCCCTGGCTCCCGGGGCTGGAAGGTGGCGATGAGGACCAGGCCTTGCGGCAGGACGGAGCGCACGGCCCTCGGGAGGCCCAGCACCTGCTCACACTGGCGATGGCTCGGGCCGGCCCTTGTGGGCCCTCTCCAGGCAGCGCTCTGAGCTGTCCCCCGCGCGCGCGCGCGCACCCTCCCCAGGGGCTCCCCAGCCTCCGCCCCTCCCCGGGATCCCGGAGCACTGCCGGCGCGCGGCCTCCGCACACGCCAGACCCGGCGGCCCCAGAACTCCGACTCCGCGCGGCCGCGCGCCGCCCGGGCCGAGGCCCCGAGACCCCGCGGTGACGGCCGGCCGCCAAAGTCGCGGCGCCAGGGCGGCTCGCGCTCGGCAGGCCCGCGGGCCACTGCAGCGTGCGGGGCGGCGCGCCACGGGGACCCGCCGAGGCCGACCCGGAAGCCCCCGCGCCGCCGGAAGGCGGGAGGGCGGGGCCTGCGCCGCGGGGGCGGGGCGGGGACCGGCGGGCGGGCGGCCTCCAACCTCGGCGCGCGGCGGGCCCGCCTCCCACCAGGTAAAGGGCTCCGGGCCCGCCCCGCGAGGCCAGGGCAGGGCGCCCGGGGCGGGGGGCCTGGCCCTCCCGATGCGGGGTGGCCCTGCCCGGCACTCATTTTCCGTGTGGAGAAACTGAGGCACGGAGAGGTCGAGGTCGCTCCAGGAGTAAGCTGAGCGGCGGAGCTGGGTTAGACCCGTAACCCGACTCCAGGGCCCTCGCTCCCCGCCGTGCGCCTGCGCAGTCACGGGGGCCTGTGTGTGAGCGTGTGCGCGCGCGCGGTGGGTGTTACAGATGCGAGGGCGCCAGGGAAGAGGATCTGGGCGTTAGACGGGATCAGGAAGGGATGTTAATGGCTAAGAGGGGAGATTAGTTTCGGCTGGGGATCGGTAGCTTCGTTAGTCTTTTGAAAAAGAAACGGGGATCTTTGATAGGCGGCCACGTGACCTGCTGTGGTCCCGAAGGGCAGGCAAGGTGCCCTACCCCGGGCCTGTGAGGGGCGCTCCCGCTCAGCTCCGGCCTCAGCTGCTGCGGGAAGGCCGGCTCGGCGGGGCTGGCTCTTCTGATTTTTTCAGGAGAGATGGAATCTGAGCTGTATGTGGCATCTCTGGATTTTTAAATACTGGCAACCAGTTCCTTTTTTAAAAAGTCTGTGGGCTAATTGACAGTGTTTGCTGCTGGGATCCACCTGCAGCCTTTGCCCTGGGGCATCAGGAGGTGGGAAGGCGAGGTTTACAAGGGCCAGGTGCGCAGTGGCGTTTTGCAAATTCCACCGGAGAAGTGGAAAGTACTGAGGATCCCGGGCGAGCGAGATCATCGCTCTCTCTTAAGAGGCTCCACTCCTCTAATTTTTTTAGAGAACAAGGCGCGTGGAGGTCTGTGTTAGTTCTAAAGCCTTCCTCCTGCCTCCTCTCCTACAAGGTGGTCCGTCTCAGAAAGCCGGATTGCAGTCTCAGGGGTGGGCTCATCTCCCTCTTCCCCAGAACCCTGCTGTAATCAGAAGTAGGCTGTACCTTCCCTGTGGCTGGCAGATGGGCGCGCTGTGACCAGAGCTTGTTTTATAGACAAATCCGATTCTGAAATAGGGGTGATATGGAGGGGGCACTCCCACCCCTTTGAGGTCTGTCCCGGTTGGAGTGCTCCTCCTGCCTCCTCACCTGCTGCCCGTTTGCTTCCAGACAAAAGCAAGCTTGGAGTGGGAGGAGGAGAGGCAGGACTGGCTCCCTCAGTCTAGCAAGCCTGGAGGAGTCAGGAGGCTGAGCTTTTCAGCAAGCGCTCAGGAGATGGGGCTGCAAGCCTTTCCTCCACAACGAGAGTCTGTTGACGCTCTGCTTTCTAAAATGGTTCTCGCAAGGAAATTAAACCGGCTCTCCCTTGGATCGAGGCAGCCACAATGCCACCTCCACCCGTGGCGTGGAACTGTTGAACCCAGCCGGAGTTGGGCCACTTCCTCCGCCTGTCCTCCCACACACGGTGACACCCGCTGGCCTTCCAGTTCTGCAGAGCCCTGGGCTTGTGCCTTGTGCTGGTCTGACTGGGCTAAGTGGAGGTTGGAATTAGCATTTGCACAATGGTGCCTCATTAGCCCCTGTGGGTTTTGACTTAAAGTCATTGAGAGCAGGTAGGAAGCTGTTTTTTGTTCGATAGACAATAGAGGGTAAAGTGCGCATATATCTGTTTCCTGCCTCTTTTACATGCGTTTTCTTGCTGTGCAGACACTGTTTCGAGAGTGCAGATTTGTAATTCTGCAGAAAGCCTGTTTCAGGAGTAGCGTCTGGGCACATTGCACAGGCCTGGAAGCCAGCCTTTCGGACCAAGCGTGGCAGGGCTGGGAGCCCTCGCGCCCCTGGGAATGGGAGCTCACTGCCGCCTCCAGACCTGAGCTTCAGCTCCCTTTTTCTAGCATAATTGACAGATAAAAAGCTGGATATAAACCAGAGCTAAGCTAGAAGGTGATTAGATATTTTACAGGAGGATTTTTAGGTTCTTGAAAGGTTTTACCATGAAATTAATTCCTTTGGTTATCTTAATATGTATTTGAAATAAAACTCGTTTTGTTTGTCTGAGTAGCTTCGCAAGACCATGGCTGCTGGGTAAACCAGATTACGCCCTCCATCCTCCCGTTGCTGAGCGGCTTCTGCTGTGATCAGTCCCTTTGCTGTTATAATGCTACTTTATTATCCTGACGTTTGTGTGTGGACAAGTCTTGACCTCTGCAAGAGTGGAAGGGGCTCTCTTCCAAGGAGGACGAGGAGGCATTCACTCTATTTGCAAGTGGGTGCTACTTGTGAGCAGAAGGGCCTGGAAGCCAGGAGGACGCCTGGAGCCAGAGCAGGACAGGCAGACCTGAGTTCTCCTCCAGTCCCCTGGGTAACCCTGCAGGGCCTGCCCCCCCCCCCCACTACCTCTCACACCCCTCTGGGTAAACAGACACATCTGGGAGGCACCTGTTTGCAATGTCTGAACCCGAGGACTGAGTGACAGACCTGAGCCATCCTGGGTCATGATCTCTTAGAGTCTTGCTGTCCCAAGTGAGGTCAGAAGACCACCTGGGGGCCTGTTGGAAAAGCACAATCTCAGCCCACCCATAGTGGCTATATTTGACAAGATCTTCAGTGACCCTATGCACTTGTGGGGAGTCACTGATCTCAAGAATATCAAAGGGGGAAAGGGGCTTTTACAGGGGTCAGAGCACAGGATGCTTATCTCTCCTGGGACTACAGAGAAGTTCTGGAAACCTGACTGTGGCAATGTGGTAGATGTACAGATTGGCTATAAGGGCTCAAAATTCTCTCCCAGAATTGGGAGGATGGTGTTCCATTAGAGACTGGTTCTGGATTATCCTCGGGTCAAAAAAAGCTCATATAACCAGAAGATACTGAGTAACAGGGTCTGCCCAGAACTCCCTCAGTAAGGCCCTTTAGCGACTGTTGGAATGTTTCAGCCTCGAATGTAAATGGCAGTGTTGGTGAGAAAGGAAAGTGCCTGTCAAGCTTGGGCCGGGCTGGAGCTGGGAGGGGAAGCCCAGCTCATTGGTGCTGTGATTTTTCCCTCCCAGCCCTGCCCGGTGGCCCGACAGCGTTGGGGCTCTCCATTCCCAGCTACCCGGGGCCAAGCCCACCCAGCCCTTGCCCTTGCCCCTGCTTGCCATTTTTCCACCAGGGTGGCCAACAGTTTCCTGACCTCAGAGAATTGTTCTAAAGGTCATTGTTCCAAAGGTCCATCCGTCCATCTGTCTGTCTATCCATACATATGCAACCCCCTGGGGTTCTTTGATATCCTTTATTCTCTGGTTGTTTCATCTTACTGCCTCATCGTGTCCCTGCCTTTAGTGTCCCATGTGTCGAGCTGGACTGACTTTAGGAGTAGCTGCTCATGGAAGCCAGAGGTGTGCCTTAGTAACGAACTTAGTCATGTTCGTTTAGAGCCATCTTGTCTGCGGGTCTGCAGTGTCCCACACTTGCACCAGGCGCCTTGCATCTCTGCTTAGACCTTACAGGAATCCAGCCTATAGGTGGTTTATCTCCATCTTACAGGCAAGGAATCTGCCTCTGCTCACGGTCACACGGCGGGCAAGTGCAGGCGCAAGGCCATTATGGTTGCAGAGTCCTGTCCTTTCCCCTCCTTTGGCGTGGCATGAGCTGATGCCCTCTCACACAAAAGAGGACATGAGGGTGGGGCTCTCCTCATCTGCCAGGCTCTGTGCCTCAGGGATTGCCTGAGCTGGTGGGAGGCTGCGGACGCAAGAGAGGGTAGGCTTGCCTCACTTGTGATGACCTGGGGGAGCGTGTGGCTGGATTGCTCCTTAATCCGCCATTAATCAGAAGTTAATCAGAGGGCAAAGAAGCCCTTTCATCCACTCTGCTGATTCTGTTTGCTTATTAGCTAAATGCTGCCTGCTTTCTCTGTGAGGAGAACTTGTCACATGCCTGGGTGCTGTCCATCATGCACATGGCGGAGCCACTCTGTCCGCAAAAATGAGGACCCTTCCTCAAAATTCTAGGGAGAGTAACATTTGGGTGGAAGTGCTCTTTCACTCATTAACTCTCTGCCTTTGGAATGCTTCCTCCGAGGCCTGCCGAGATGCCTATCCTGGTGGAAGACGTCATGCAGCTGCTCTGCTCCATTTCTGAGGAGAGGAAGATGAAGGCAGCCTTCAAACACTCAGGGAGGGGCGCCCTGGTCACAGGAGCTGTGGCCTTCGTTGGTGGTTTAGTTGGTGGCCCACCGGGACTAGCCGTTGGTAAGTGCAAGTGCCTCATGGGTGTCGTGAAAAGGCCTCAGACCCACAGAGACCTCGTGAATGTCTGTCCTGTGTGAGGAGTCTGTTGGGTTCAGACTGAATCTGTGAAGTGGGCTTTGTGAGCATAATTTGTCCTGTTTAAAATTCAAGCTTCTGTGTCTCACCAGCGTCGGGTGCTCTGAGAAATGGCGTCTGTGTCGGGCAGACCTCGAGGATACCTTTCCCCTGGGGATGTGTCCTAGAGTCTGAAGATAGCAGGTGTCTGGGGTCCCGGGGATGGTCTCCCTTCCCCCGTCACCATTCCATCACTGCACAAGGGAACCAGGGAGGAGCTGGGGCGTGTGGAGCTCCTGCTGGGAGCAGATGCCGTCTGGCCATTGCACAGAAGCTCGTTCAGAGTGAGCTGCCTCCTTCCGAAAGAAAGCAGTCCCATGCAGAAAAAGCGACAAACGAAGTCCTAGAGGGGTCCTCCCTGTCCCCTTGTTTTACCACCTGCTTCCGTTTGGGAACCAGTTTCTGGCAATGAATGAAGTTTGGCTGATTTTCCCATCATTCCGTGGAGCTGGGATGAAGTTGCTTCCTTTGGATTAGGAGCAGGAAGAATTCCTTCCTATGTGGCCCAAACCATGGGCTGGGGTGGTGTCAGTTGGCCACCGTTCAGGCCTGACTTGGGGAGGGGCAAGATAAGGCCTCCCTCAAGGGGCCTCAGATGGACCTGCCACCCAGGGGACCGGCTAATGGCGTGGATTGCCGCCCTGGGCTCTGCAGCTCCCTGCCGAAGGCCTCCTCTGTGCCAGGCAGCCTGTGCTGGGGACGAGGCCTCGGAGAGCTCGTGGTCTGGTGGAAGTGCTTTCTGGGTGACTTACAGGCTTCCCAGGAATACAGGCCGGGGAGACGGCGGCTTTTCTGCTGAGGTTGGCTCCTGTTCCCCTGCTTGCTGGCAAGGCTTCCTGCTCTCTTCTTCCCCGTAGCAGGATTGACATCAAGGGACATTTCGTTAAGCTGAGGGCACACTGGGGAGAAAAATCAGTGTCTGGGTGGCCCCAGGCCTTCCATATACATCTCCCTCCCCGAACTCTGTGAGTTAGTGAGTCCTGACTTCAGCCTCTTGCCATCCCGGAAGTAGCCGGTGAGGGAGGAGACACGGCCTTTGCCTTCTTTCTCAGTGGCGTCCTGTATCTTTGTCCCGCCCCATCCAGTGTGCTCAGGGGAGGGCGTGCAGGGGTCGTTTGTCGTAGAGCTGTGCCCGGGTGCCGTTTTGGGAGCACGTGTTTTACTCAGACTGAGTAGACGCTGGTAGAGAACAGGATGTCCACGTAGAGAACCTGGGGGGTTCGATACCTGCCACCCCTGGTCATGGCGGGAGCATCATTTTACTCAGAAAACAAAGGAATTTTCTCCTTGAAGAGTTAGTAACTTGGTGGTCGATGCTCCTCGTGTCTCTTTGGTTAAGTGCTGCTCTGAATCAAATATTGGCGTTCTCAGAAAGGTTCTCAGAAAGGTTTAGGTAGATGAGTGCCACTCTTGTCGGCTCTAAGCGTGTCACTGGTGTCACGGGCAAAGTTCGGTGACCCTTGTAACTTCCTGGTCCTCCCTCCCTGGAATGCTCCTTCAGAGCGGAGGGGAGGCTGTCCAGGGGCAGTGCTCGGCCCCAGGACATGAGGCTGGCCTGACCTCAGTGGCAGAGGAGGTGTGCTTCCGGGCGCCTCCACGCTGGGCTTCGTGGGAGAGGCAGGTTTCACTGCCTGTTGGCCGAGTCTAGCCTGCAGATGGGTTCTCTCTGCCCTGGGCTGCATTCTTTTAGATAAACTTTTTGTTTTGGAATAGTACTAGATTGACAGAGAAGTTGCAGAAATAGTGCGGAGAATTCCCATATATCCCTCACCCAGTTTCGGCTCCCTTAATGTTAACATCTCATATCAGCCCGGTACATTTGTGGGAACTAAGAAAGTAGCACTGATACATATGTTACTGTTGACTATTCTCCAGACCGTATTTGGGTTTTACCAGTTTCTGCATTAATGCTCTTTTTCTGTGCAGGCTCTAGCTCAAGATGCCACGTTGCATGTAACCATCCTGTCCCCTTAGTCTCCCGGTCTGTGACATTCTCAGACTTTGCTCCTTTTCCCTGGCCTTGATCGCGTTAGGAGCACTGGGCGGGTGTTCTGTAGAGCACCTCTCGATTTGGGGGTACCTGATGACTCTCTCAGGATTAGACTGGGGTTATGATCTTTGGAAAGAACACTGTGGAGGTGAAGTGCCCTTCTCATGGCACTGTTTCAGGGACACGTGACATCAGGACACATGACAGGACCTCCCTGGTGGTATTCACCGTGATCGCCGGGTAAGGTCGTGCGCGCTAGCTTTCTCCACTGTAAAGCTGGTTTCCCCTTTCCGTGCTCCATTCTTTCAGAGAGACTCACTAAGTCCAGCCGGGCTGCATCTTTTAAATATCTGATCACCAACACTTTAAAATCATGGGATTTTTGTGTGTGTGTGTGAGGAAGATTAGCCCTGAGCTAACTTCTGTTGCCAGTCCTCCCCTTTTTGCTTGAGGAAGACTGGCCCTGATCTAACATCTGTGCCAGTCTTCCTCTGTTTTGTGTCTGGGACACATCCCCTGCATGGCGTGATGAGCAGTGTGTAGGTGTGTGCCTGGGATCGGAATTGGCGAACCCCGGGCTGCTGAAGCGGAGTGCACGAATTTCACCACTACACCACGAGACCGGCCCCTCATGGGGCTTGGTCAAGATACAAATCTGGTATTCTGTGCGGCAGCAATTGGCTGGCATGTTGTAGCCACTGCCCCTGTAGACAGGGCCCCAGCTCTCCAGGTCACCCCAGGCCCACTCTGCCCACTTTGCTCCTTTCAGTTGCCTGCCTGGCTCCTGAAGGCACTTGAGTTTGACCCCTGCCCTGGGGTGCCGTTCTGCAGCAGACCTGGTTAGACAGAACTTTCCGTTGATACCACGTCTTCAAGTCCCAAAATAGTGTGCCTCAACTTTGATAGGAAATTTACCTCTGGAAATTTTTGTGCCCTTTTGGAGCAGCAGAAAGAGCAATAGTTGAGTACATTAAATTTGTTATTCATCATCTTACAACTTTGGAGAGGTTGTATGAAAAACACTGCTTCAAGAGCAGGGCTCTCCTGGTCTGTCCCCAGGGTCCTGTAACCACCTGGTTTCACTGGAAACGTCCCAAGTTCAGGGGCAAGGAGCATACTAGCTGTTTGATGGAGGAAGCAGCCTCTCCGCTGAGATGGCCCTCCCTGAGGCCACGCAGGCCTCTTGGCCTCTCCTTTCAGGTGAGAGAGGCTTTCACGGGAAGCAGGGACGCCCGCAGCCCCTGAGGAGGGTTCAGTCAGCTTAGCTCAGGGCAGATGCTCCGTGTCGGGCCTCAAAGGCGCAGCTCGGGGAAGTGCGCGCTTGGGTGCCGGCTGTCTGAGTCCAATGGACAGAGGGCCACAGAGACCTTTGCCCTCCAGCTGCCTGGTAGAGCAGAAGGAGCCGAGCCCGGTCCACCGCCTCCTGAGTGTGACCCCTCGTCGTGCCGGCCGCCGTGCTCTCCACGAGAACCTGCGGCCGGTGTCCATGAGTCAGGCCACTAATTGAAGCTTCCTTGTCTTCCAGGGGGCGCCGTCGGGGGCCTGTTAGGAGCCTGGATGACAAGCGGGCAGTTTAGGCCCATCCCACAGATCATAATGGAGCTGCCGCCGGCCGAGCAGCAGAAGCTCTTTAACGAAGCCGCGGCCGTCGTCAGGCACCTGGAGTGGACGGATGCCGTGCAGCTGACCGCGCTGGTCCTGGGCAGCGAGGCCCTGCAGGAGCGCCTGCTGGCCGTGCTGGTGAACTATGTCACCAAGGAGCTCCGGGCCGAGGTTCGCTATGACGACTAGGCCGCTGCCCGGGACGTGAGGGGCTCGTTAGATGACTCTCCTCACTCCTAGGAGGGGACCCGGGAGCTTGGGAAGCCCCAGCACTGGGGTGTCACCTTAAACTGGAGCAAAATCTCCTGCTGTGATTTTGAGCAGGCTGCTGCTGTGCCATATCATGTTCTGGAAATTATTTATGAAGACGTGTTCTGTGGTCGTGTGCATTAATGCGCACTCGCAGCCCTGCGCCTGGGCAGCTGGCGAGAAGCGGAGGTGCGCCCGGCAGCGCTCGGTGGACTCTGAGTGCGCTCTGGCTCACGCGGGAGAGCGGAGCAAGGCCGTCGAGTTCAGCTGTCCTGCCTTGTGAAGATGACGCCTGGCCCGAGCACTGAGCACCGAGCACCGGTGCGGGGCCGGTTCCCATCTCGTGGCCTCGGAACCGCCCGTGCTGGGATCACCGGCGCCCGTCCCCTGCGGACTTCTGCGTGGCCTTCCGGAGGGGCAGGCGGCCTGTTGAGTGAATCTGCAAGCGGCCGTTGCCCCCAGCCCTTCCCTGACTACCTGCGGCCTGGCTCCCCGCTCCCAGGGGCTGCTTTCCCCTTTTGAAAAGTCACGGTACTTCTTGAGTGCTGCTTTGTAAACTAAGTCCTTTCCTAATAGTACTGCTCTTTCTGAAGTGGTAGGATTGCCGCTCTCTCTGAGAAATGTGTCCACCCGAAATTTCCCCTAATACTGTATTCACTGTGCTTTCAGAACCACGACTTGACTGTGTTATTAAATTACAATAAACTTTTTCTGAGCAGTCCTTTTCCTGTGTATTTGGTATAAGGCATCTCTAACATTCAGAGACGTACACATGGAACACGAAGGAAGGTACTGAATTTGTGGCTTTAAAGGAGGAAAGAGCTCCTGATTCCAGTGCCGGAGGCCTGCTTTCCAGGCTGCTCTGGCCTCCGTGTGCTGCCAGCGTGTGCACAGCTCACACTGCCCGAGTCTCCTGGGGAAGCCGCAGGCCGTCCCGCAGGTCCCCAGGCCCTGGGGCAGGCTGGGGACTTGGGCTCTATCCGTGGGCAGGAGCAGTGCAGGCCTCGCTGGGGGTGCGGGGGAGGCACTCTGCTGAGGACGGTAGTGTCCCTCATACCTGTGTGTGTAAAGAACTCCAGGAGCCAGCCCTCACGGCCTAGTAGTTGAAGTTCAGTGCTCTCACGGCTTTGGTGGCCTGGGTTCACTTCCCCATCATGGAACCACACCACCCGTCTGTCGGTGGCCATGCTGTGGCAGCAGCTCACGTAGAAGAACTTAGAAGGACTTAGAAGGATTTATAGCCACGCACTGGGGCTTTGTTGGGGAGGAGAGAAAAACAAAAGGAAAACTTCAGGTGAATTGGAACCCATGGTGATTAAGGATGGATTGAGGCTTTCTCTCTCAGAAAAATTGCTCTTTAGCTGGCCTCGTCTAGCACAAACCAGGTGCCTTACCATGGCCACGCTCCTGGAGCTGATGAAGCCACTGTGATCATTCATGTGCTGCTTGAGTTGATGGGGGCAGGACGGGGATTCTCCTGACCCACAGGAGGTGACGGGGGGTTGGGGGAAGCCCCACCCCTCCATTACTCTTGTGTTGGGTTCTACTCTGCCAGGCCCAGGGGACACTGGTGGTCCCAGCTCAGAGGTCCCCCACCAATGTCCACTGAAGCTCCTCCCCCGGCCTGCCTGCCTTTACCCCTGGGAGAAACACCCCAGGGAGCAGATGGCCCGACTCTGGACCAGTTTGGGGTTGGGTGGAGCAGGCCCTGCTGAGTGAAGTCACCCGTGCCTAGCCAGTGCTGGGGTGACTTGCAGTGGGCCTTGGGGCCAAGAGGGCAGTCCAGGCCTCGAGTCCTGCCTTCCCCAGGAGTTAAAAGACTTCCCTTGCTTTCACCTCAGCTCCTGTGGCTTTAGTGTTTATATTTCTGTATCTTCTTTAAAAAAAAATCTTCATTTATTTATTTTTGAATAGGTAATACCAGCTGGTACAAAACTTAGAAGATGCCAGAAGGTACGAATGGAGAGGAGGGCTTCCTGGTGTGCTGACCCCTGCCCGGCCCCCTCCCCAGGTGGGGATAGACACTGTGCCAATTTCTTGTGCATTCCTTCACTCTGTTTTTAAGGTGTCTTTGAAACCCATTCATTTCCTTTTATTTGTCAATGTTTATTGCTGAAAACTTAGACAAATTCAGAAAAGTATAATGAATTAAGAACCACTACAAATTTCACCACCCAGAAAACCACTGCTCACAAATTTGATATATTTCATGCAAACCTTTTAATGCTACGTATGTGTGTTTCTAACGTATTTTCATTCTTAGCATTTAGACCTCTTTGAACACTGGCACCAAGTCGCGTGAAATAACATTTGTGATGGAATTGACAATTCCCCGTAGAGGTGTAGTGACTGTGTGATACTCCAGCACACTGAGCCACATCCCCAGGGGGTGTCCTTTGTAGGTTTTTACTCTTATAACACTGAGAACATTTTTGTGTTAATATTCTGTTCACATTTTGGGTTATGATAGATAGTCTTTAGGATAGATTCCTCAAAGTGAAATGTCTGGATTAAAAAGTATACAGTATTTTTTAGGGCTGTTGTATTTGGTCAAAACTCTTTCCAGGGAGGCAGTATCAGTAATTTGCTCTTCCAAAAACAGGGTTTTGGGGTGCATATCTCATTGTGTCCTCACCAAGAAATAGAATGGTAGTATCTTATACCTTTACTAACTTGATGGATGATTATAGACATCTGGGTTTGACTCGTTTTTCTTTGGACTCCGAGTGGAGTTGACAAGGCTGGGGTGACGTCCTGGTAGCCGCCTGCCCATGGGGTGCTGAGAGCCCCCAGGCGCCTGTGGCCGAGGCCCCATGGAGGGTGGGGGGCACTGGCCGGAGCAGAGGGCAGGCTGCGGGCTGGCCCCGTCTGTGGCTAGCTGGGCAGTGGTGGCATGGTGGCTGCCAGTGGGGGAAGGAGGCAGCTGAGGAGGAAGCCTTAGGGGGGACCCAGTAATTATAAAAAGAAACCATCTGCTCTGGGCCAGTTATTAACCTGCTTTGGGTGTTGATGAGACAGCGCCGAGCGAGATTTTTCACAGGCAGATGGTGTATTTTTAGATAGAACGAACTTTTTAATTTTTCTGTTTTTTGAGATCTGCCTTGGAAGTAAACACGACGGGGGTGTGTTGCGATGCGGGAGGCTGGAGGACCGGGGCTAAGGGTCTGGAAGGAACTGGTCTTCTCCCCATTAGTTATTGAGAGCTGCCATCTAGTGGGCAAGTGGGCGCATCCTTTCTCCTCTTCCCACCGGGCTGGGCCCAGGGCGCACTCTTGGGGTCACCAGCCAGGCCAGAATGTAGCTTCTCAAAGATGCTGTTTGGTGGGTTCCCCTTTGGAGGGGCTGAGGCCTTCCTGAGGTTTTAATAAGCCAGGAACAGAACATCAGCCATGCCTCCTGCAACCTTTTTGCATATAAACCAGAATGTTTCTCAATCCTGAACAATCAACATATGGCAATTAAGAAATGCCAGGATTCATCTAAACCACACAGGGACAGGGGGCTGTGTGATGTTTTTTCAGTTTGCTGGGAGGAGATAAATGGCTTTATAAGCTGGAGGAGACTTCTCAGACCATTATGAGAACGGTGGGTCGGGAGGCGAAGCTGGGCCTGACCAGCTGACTCGCAGCCTTGGGCAACTATGGGTACCCCAAATGCTGGCAAATGAAGACGTTGAAAAATGTTTTTCGAAACGATTGAGGTGGTGGCTATTTGTTTAACTTTTGTGGATTTTAAGAGAAGGACTTTACTCATTCTCATTTGCAATTAAGCAAATGCAAGGATATTGTCTAGGAGATATCTATTATACCCCACTTAATTAGTAAAAACAAATGCAAATGATCAAACCCAGAGCTGGCAGGACCGTGGGAAAGCAATGTGCACACACACACCCCCCACTGGAGAAAACACACTGATACAGTCTTGTGGGAGAGTGATTTGAAGAAAAAAATTCACAAGAACCATAAAATTGTATATACTTTCCAGCCAACAAATTTTACTTCAGGGAAAATATTACAATAAAATAATTCAAATGGAAAAAAGATAAAGATAATCATAGCACTGCTGTTTATGATAGCAGGAAAAAAGGGAAATAATTCCAATGTTGCACAACAGGGAAATAGTTAAACTATGATGTGGACAATATAATGGAATACTAATAGCCAGTTTTAATAAGCAGCAAATGGGGATGGGTGTATGGAATTCAGGAGAATTGCTCCGTACACATTATTTACCTTACAGCAATTTCGTACTTACGTGCTTGGGGGCATAAAGAACCAGACGCATTGTGACTGGTGCTGGTGACGCTCCTGGCTTCCTGTGTGCTGAGGGTGTGGCTCCGAGGAAGCAGGATGGGAGGCCAGGAACCCCAAAGTGTGCGCATCTTGTGCTTGAGGGGATGCCAGTGTTGAAAGTGGGAATTATTTCCCTGTCTCTGAACCAAGCAAGAGCCAGCCTTGTCCCCAGCTTCCTGGGGCTGTCTCCCAGGGACTGCTCAAGGCCGCCTTGCTGGGAGGCAGTGTCCTCAGGGGGCGTGGTCCCATGCAACGCGTAGCTCTGAAGCACAGCCTCAGGTGGCAGCACATGTGCCCGTGAGAACTTTATCCAGTGTGCCTGTGCCCACTGACCGAGGCAGGAGTCCCAGCCATGCTGGGAGCTGTCTCTCTGGGTCTTCTCTCTAGGGTCTGTCCAATAGAAATACAGCATCAGCTACATACATAATTTTAAATTTTCTAGTAACCACATTTTTTTTTCTTTTTTTGGCTGAGGAAGATTGGCCCTGAGCTAACATCTGTTGCCAATCCTCCTCTTTGTTTACTTGAGGAAGATTAGCCCTGAGCTAACATCTGTGCCAGTCCTCCTCTACGTTTTTGTAGGTGGGACACTTCCACAGCGTGGCTGGTGAGTGGAGTAGGTCTGCACCTGGGATCCGAACCCACCAACCCTGGCCACCAAAGTGGAGCATGTGGAACTTTAACCCCTACACCACTGGACCGGGCCCTCTAGTAACCATATTTCTAAAAATAAGAAACAGATGAAATTAATTTAATAATATACTTTATTTAACCCCATATAGCCAACATATTATCATTTCAACACGTAATCGATATGAAAGCTTATTGAGATATTTTCCATGTTTTTACATTAAGTCTTTGAAGCCAGCATCCATTTTACACTGACAGCACATCTCAGCTCTGAGCAGCCACGTGTCCAGCCGTACGGGTTGCCAGTGATACAGACAGGTCCCTGTCAGGGCCGGGAGCCTCCTGTCTCTTCTCTCTGCTGAGGTCCAGCTTGCGGGCTTGTTTGAGGTCCTTGTTGGAGGTGAAAAGCAGGCTAGATGGTGTGATGGATTGAATCGTGTCCTCCCCAAATTCATAGGTGGGAGCCCGAGCCCCCGGTGTGCTGGCATTTGGAGATGGGGCCTTTGGGGGGTAATTAGGGTTAGATGAGGCCATGGGGGATCCTCACGATGGGATTAGTGCCCTTCTGAGAAGAGACGTCAGAGAGCTCGCTTGCTTGCTCTCTGCTATGGGAGGACACAGCAAGAAGACGGCCATCTGCCAGCCAAGAGCTCTCCTCAGAACCCAGCCGTGCTGGCACGCTGATCTCGGACCCCAGCCTCCGGAACTGTGAGCAGTGCATGTCCATGGTTTAAGCTGCCCAGTCTGGGGTACTTCGTTATGGCAGCCGAGCCAGCTGAGACGGGGGAATTGGGAGGGT